TTCAAGAATTCAAGTCTCTGCACAAACCCTGACTTAATTGTGATATTTTCCCTATATATTTTCTCACGCTTACCTTGCTTCCTTTCCCGCACGTTTTAAAATGTTCTTCCCATTGCTTCTTGAGCGCATCATACGCGCTTTGTACTTTGTTTCTTTCACTCTGGGCAAACTGAAGCTGTTTCTGACCATCCTTCAAAGCAATAATAGCAATTTTAACATGATCATCTTCATAATAATAACAATTCAAAACATAATTAAACCGAAAAGAACTAAATGCCTGTGGCTGACTACTAATTATTTTAAGCCATGTCCACTGCGTCGGATTAACCTACTTGCATTTATATTACGGCTGTCCAAACGAAACTGATTATTAAGCAGATTTACCAAAGACAACGCAACGTCCCAGGAGAAAACGAAAGCGCGCGGGTAGGACTAAATCCGACTTCCAGTGCTTAATTTGCCGCTCTGTGCGCACCGTCGTAACTGTCGGTACGTTGTCTTTGCTAAGTCTGCCTCATTTATCCGTTTACATGTACGAATTCATCCACCCTGGAGCTGACGGTTAACGAAAAAAATTGTTCACTATTAATCAAGTGTGGACGAAAATATATCTTCAAAGTTAGTGGAGTGATACTTGTACACCCAACCCGCGGGCGGCGAGTGGCGAAGCCCTAAGACGCGAGAAGCGAGGCCTCTCCCGCTTGTGGGAATTTTTTCTCTCACGCGCTTCGCCTGACGAGCAACGAAACAAGAGTGGCTGCTCGTGGTCTACAAACGTTTGTTCGGATTAAAAACATAAATGGCCATGTCTCCACATTGAAGCCCTACTCACTTTATTTCTATCCAGTTCAGTTTTCAGTTCCTTCTCTTTCGTTTTCAACTCTGTTTTAACTGTTTTCTCCAGCTCAGCTGCCGACTCAGCTTGCTTCTTTAACTCCTGGTTTGCAAGGAAATTAACTTTTATTTCCTCTTTCAAATCATTAATGAGGTTCTCTCTCTTGGTATTCTCCGCAACAGATGCATCCAACTTTTCTTTCAGTTCATTTAGCGATTTTGTAAGTTGCGTCCTTTCTGATTTTAACTGTTCAATTTCGTTTGCAACCTATAGAAACAAAGCAAAAAAAGAAAAGCATCAGGCAAGATGTGTATTTCAAACCACAAATTCTGAGCACTGAGATATGAATGGACCAACTGCCTGGTCTCGGCCGAAGTACTTCTGCGACAAAATACTTCGAGCGCTTTCCATTTGTCAGAGGTGGCTGACAAGACCTATCCAGTCAAAAGGAGAGTTCCGCTTTTAATCAAAACTATCCAGCCAGACCAGTTTATTCTTGAATAGTATAATGCTCGACAGTAGAGGGTTATAGGCAAAATGTCGAGAAAAAGCTAACATTTTACTTTCAAAATAATTGGTCCGGCCGGCCGGTTCTGGCTTAGCCTGCATAAAAGGCGTTTCTATTTCGTGTTATTGAAGAGACTGAAGGCAAGCGCGAAGCGAGCGAGGAGCGCCAGACACGCGCGACAGTGAAAAGACCAGATTACCAGGCAGGCGCCTTTCCCCGTCGCGCATGTCTCGTGCTCCTCGCTCGCTTCGCGCTTGGCGTCACTCGCCTGAAAAACGCGAAAAAATAGCACCTGTTATACAGGCTAGCTCTGACTTCAAGTAAGCTCCCTTAGCAACCTTCACCGAGCCACAAACAGCCGAGGGCAACCTCGTTGCCAGGGGTTCTTCCTCACTTCATCTCTCGAAAATGCAACAAAGAAAGCCGTATTTTGATTGCTTTTATTTAGAAAGCACCGACATACTGAAGAAAGAATCTGCCATCGTTCATACATGTACCTTGACTTGTTCTTCGTAGTTCTCTTTTGTCTGTTCCTGATTTTTCTCTGTACTTTTCACAGCCAAAGTGATATCCTCAAGCTGGCCCTTCAGTAACTTAACATGCAATAAAATATAAGAGACGATTAAGACCCAATAATAACATGGAGAGCTAAGAGGAGAAATAATGGACGTACTTTAGCCAGCTTTTATAGGTAAGAATCACCAAGAAGTATTGCAAATTCCCCCTTTAGAAATTCTACTCAACAACAAAGTTATTTATTAATTAAAATACAACAGTTACCTCATTTTGTTGTAATATCTTATTATACTCTTCCTGAAGAGACTTGAGTGAAAGACTGAGCTCGTCCTTTTCAAATACAACACACTCCAACTGTTTTTTCGAGGCCTGCAGAAACAAAGAAAGCTTAATTAAGACACAGAATTGACAAAAGATGCTTAAGTTTGAGTAGCAACACAGTCTTGAGGTGCATGGCAGAATCGGAAACGATAATTTATTGGATCTGGCGGTTTCCTGGCTTCGTTTTTCTTTATGTACCCCGGCTTTCCCATCTCCTCACGCCCAGGCACATTTAAACGAGTTCTCGAAATACCTGAGTGCTTGGTGAGTAAACAAATTACAAAAAATTATAATTCCTGAAACTTTTAAGTAAAAAAAAAAACAGTTAACTCTCGCCGTGCGGATACCTCGTTATAAAATACCGTTAAAAAGTAAGTTAGTAGTCTTGTCTCGTGAGTAAAAACTCAACTCTCGTCTCGTCTAAAGACGAGAATCTCGTCTCTGAAAACTTAGTTTACGACATGATAAATAAGCACAACTGAAAAGCTAATCTCATCCTCACCTCATTATTTTCTGCAACATTTCTGTACTGTTGCTGAAGACTGGCCACTGAATCTTTCAACACCTCATTTTCCACGAAAAGTTTCTCGAATTCTTCCACAGTTTCCTTTCAAACAAGCAACAAAGATTAGAAACTCAAAAACTTCTCTGCTTGTCGTTGGTCATATCATAACAACACAACAACAAATCGTAAAACTGGGTCTTTGATGAAAGTATTTATGAAACGAGTCGTCATAACAGAAGAATTACCTTATTTTTCTGTTCCACTGCTTGTAATTCCTTTCTACTTTCATTTAAAGCCGCTTCTATGTCTTCCCTTTCAATTTTTACAACTGAAATTGTCTTCCTCAACTCCTAGAGAACATTTCAATAGTCTTTATCAGAAACAATTCACATGTGGCACTTGAAGGAAAGGACACGTAAAACAAGAAAACAAGAGCTTGAAGGACTGAGCATGAATGAGGTAAATAACAATTCAAACGCCAAATGTTTCAATTCATGACAAGTTTTGTCAAGAGCCATAATAGTGGCTCGTGGTTTTGTTGATTGATGGTGAAAACCTGAAGGAGGTAAAATACCTTGACAGACATCTTGCTCAAATCTTCTTGCGATGAACTCATTTCTTTTAACTTGCTCTTCAGCCTCTAAACATTTCAAATAAGAACAGAAAAATACCATTGGATATCTTCCAACTTCACGTTAACTGCCGGCTTTGGTGACATTAGTACTGAAACACTTACATCATGGTTAACCTTGAGTGTTTTAAGAGATTTCAGAGCTTTCTCCTTTTCTGCCTTGACTTTGTTGAGCTGATCACCAAGCTCCTGTATAATGCCCAATATAAACAAAAATAACATTAATAAAGTGCTGTTCAAAAGTTCTTCGCAAAGCTGTATTTTATAACCACTTCATTCCGCAGACTTTTACAGGTTTGACGGAACACTAGAAGAAGAACATTATTGTTAGCCAATAAAATGGGTTTCATACAAAGCATGCAAAACATGCTTGATTCAGAAAGTCGGCACAAAAAAGGAATGGATAACACAAGTACTCTTACATATATTATTGTCATAGTGAAAGCTTTCCCTGTGCAAAACGCCCTTAAGAATTTTCATTCGTCATCTTACCTTCACATAAAACTTGTTTTCTTCGCACTCGTTGACTGCAGTCTCTAAATTTTCTTCAACTTCCTGCTGATGAGACTGGAGATAAAAGACTCAATAGTTAGGATAAATCTATAAAACGTTCCTTACAAATTCCACCATTTTGAGTGGGCGACCTCAAAGAAATGGATTGCTTTGATGTTAAAAAATTCTGTAAAATTAACCTTCCGGATTTTTAAATTAAGGAACTTAGAAAAATATCTGCATTTGAATCTGAGTGCTGTAAACATGTATGCAAAGTTGAGAAGTGTTTTTTTTAATTGTTTGTTTGTTTTGTTTTGGACAAAGGTGACGTTTTTTCATCAGACACACTACTATCAATCCCGATGTAATAACATTATAGTTTCACTGTCATAAAACGATAACAGGGAGCTACACAACATGATGGTAACAGCTACAACAACTTTTAAAATGAGCAACACACATACCATGCTTAATTGGGTACATTTCTTTCACCACTACCACTAAAACACGAACTTTCTTATTATATGAGGACAAGACTTTTTCTAGCTTTCCTTTCTATTTTGAATTGAAATATAGCCCCTTAAAATTCAACTCCGGTCTGGAAAAATTTTCCTACATTAATTTGAGTGAGTTAAAGTAATTACAATAAACATTCAAATAATGTAGTAAAACGTTTAGTAGTGACACTTTCAATGCTGTCATCATCACGGTTTTGTAAGCTCCTTTAATGAGAGCTGCATACCCATGTATACACATACGTACCCTGGCAGCTGCCTCCTGACCTTCATGCTCTGTGCGCATGGTTTCCAGTGCATTCCGAAGGTGCTCTGTCTCTATTCTAGCAAGCTCCAGATCACTTCTCAGCAACTAACAGGTTAAAAGCAGCAAGAAACAGAAGTTTTCATTGAAAATAAAAAAGAAGAGCAACAAAAACAATGAACCATACTAACAGATGTAGCAAATAACACTGAAATACAATTTGCAGCTAGAATGATTTGTATAATGAAGGTAAAGTATGATTAAAAAGATGCAATTTTTAACATGGTTATGGGTGGTTTCCAATCACAGAAACTGAAATTCCACTGCACTTACATCTGTACAATCCTCCTATTCTTGACTTGGAAAGGGTAAATGGCTCACTGGATAAGCTAAATTAATGATTAATATTATTCCCAGAATTCCAAGAAAGTTGTTTTACCTGATTTGTTTCTTTTAGCTCCTCATTTGCCAGCAAGAAATGCTGATTGATTTCACTTGCCCCCTCGCTTGTTAAATCTGCACCTTTTTGTCGCGCAAGTTGATCGAATCTACTCTGAATTTCATTTCTTTCTTCTAACAGATTATTGACTTGCACTTTAAGATCCTACAAACACCAACAGAAACTTTCATGTGAATGTACATTCATACAATGATGTATAAATACCTGACCTTCCTCCTTCCTCTACCCCTCTACAGAAACCCTGACTTGAAAAGTTTAACATGAAGCTTTGTTCTAAGATTTTACCCAGCATAGAATAGAGGAAATACATGTGTGGAAGTGTGGTTGGTTCCATATGAAATACAAAATGCTCCAGGGACAATACCTTCAGTTCCAGGAAATACTTTTTTGGCATACTCCAACCCCTCTACAAGCACTAACATATGCAAAGGACTGTGCTACTGGCATCCACGGTACAGGATTTTAACCAAATTCAAGCGTGAAGGCACAGTTTTACAATGTACGCATAAACTGTAATTTTTTCAGGGAAGAGGACAAACATGTATTCCCCCACTGGGGAGAATCAAAAGGGGCGGATAAGTAATCTTTGTTAAAGTAATTAACAGTACGCTAACAGCTGTGCGTCCATTTTAACTTGTGTTATTTAATCAATACACATGTACCTTAATATCTTGCTCAGCTTTTTCACTGTAGGAATCATTAGATTCTTCCACAGCCTTGATAAGTTCTTCCTTTTCTACCAGCAGCTTGGCCATTTTTTCTTGAAGCTGTAAGACACAATTCAGAAGAGATTACATGTGTTTTTGGGGTGGTTTTCTGGTTTTCATGTAAATTACCTTCATCTTGCCTTAACTATTAATAACCATGGAACAATCTTGAGACAAAATGCATGTAAAAACTTTCAGTGTGGTCTATTTCTTGTGCTATCAGAGGTCCCTCATTCTTAAGTACCACAAATAGCATTTCAGTGTCCCTTATATTCAATAGGGTATGGGAGTGGCACTTTCTCTACTTTCAAATGTATAATGACAGGAGTAAGTTCCACTAAAACGTGTTTGCCACAACTTCAACTCTCATCTATAACAATGTGTCCATAAGAGTAGAGGGTGTAGTTTTGCTAAATGAATAAACAAATTAATGTACGAATGAACGCAGAACAACGATGACGAACGAACAAACAAATGAACAAACAAATGAATTGGGAAAACGATGGCTTTATCCAAAAGTCACTGTGGCAATTTGTCTTCTCTACCCTAACCGAATTTGAATATGGAAATAACGATTTTTGAGGAGAAGTAAAAACTACAGTCCTTAAAGAAAACCCTTTCAAAACAATATTACAAGAACCAACAACAAACTCAACCGACATCACTGCCCCCACAGGATTAAAATCCAGGCCACACTGGTGAGAGACCAAAGCTCTTACCACGGTGCTAACCTTAACCCTATAAGGCTTCAGACTGACCGACATCATTTTTCTCCTAACAATATCTATTTAAAATCAAGAGAAATGGTTTATGCAGGGCTGTCGCTAACATTTCAAGTTGCTGGGTATATGCAGTTAGTAGGAGGAGAATTGTACAGCAAGGAAATACTTTTGGTTTTGTTTTCTTTTTGTTTTCCATGAGAGTAGTGGGGGAAAATCCCCGGCCCCCGGCTCTTAGTGACAGCCCCGGTTATGAGAATTAGTAAAATGATCATTTGAGGGAAATACTTTGATCTTTTAATTATCAAATTCTCTTAAATAATTAATTCTTTAAGGGAATGCATGGACATCAGTATGGAGAATTTGAGTATGGTTATTGGCGCTTAAAGGGTTAATACATGTTGTTTGTTTACCTACCTCATTTATGTTTATATCATTCTTCTCGGTTGTTTCAGATTGTTTACTTTCCAAGGAATTGATTTTGAGTTCCAGCTCCTGCAAGATAACAAAGGTTAAGCTCCAATACAATTTGATTTGCCTACTAAGGTCACTTCAACACACTTTTAAAATTCAACTCCTCTCAAATGGTGTTGATCTCGGTATTTTTATCAGCTTTGTGACTGACCAGTGATCAATTTCTTCTAAACTGGTCACCTTCAGGCAGGGTGCAAAGAAAGTCAGTTTTACAGCCTGCCATTTGGGCAAGCTGTACTTAGCATGTACTAGCCCACAAGTCATTTCAACTAGCCCCAAAACCCTTTTTGATTAGCAGGATTGATTATAATCCTTGTATAATTTGAATTTCCCCAAAAAACAGTACTGGCCCGTCGGGCAAGTTTAGAACAAAAATCGCTAGCCCGATATCAAAATCCACTAGCCCCGGGCTATCTGACACAACTTTCTTTGCACCCTGCCTTCAGGCCAAAACTGTTAAAAGCCAAGACAGCAGTGAACACTTTGAGCATGAAAAGTTCAGCCAAAGTAAAATTTCAAATTGCCTCAAGTCATACTCACACATGTTAGCCAAATCACTGCACAAGAATAAATATGAGCAAGCTTTATATTCTTTTAAATGCAATTTAAAGGAGTTACCGGTAACAAGGAAAAGTGCCCTCAGTGCTAGGGGTTGGCAGTCCTTCAGCATGCACATGCCCACTAGTTTGTGATATCCTTAACATGATTCATGCAGTGGCATGTAGAATTTTCTTTCTGCTGCATTGTCCATGCCCCAAGGTTTCTTTCAGCTACTCCCCCCCTCTCCTCTCCCTAGTGTTCTTTCTTCACAGATACACATGTAATTTTCAGTGTGACGGGTGCCTGTTTATTTCCTTTCGTGTGGTGGCTCATGGCTGGGTTGCACCATTGTGCCATACATGAGGGCATTATATTCAGTCTAGAGGCCGAATGCCAAAAGTTGATGCCCCTGGATTCTCCAGGGACCCAACCTCAATTTAGCGATGCACTTGTTAACCATTGGCTAGCCGAAACACATTGTGAGAACTCCAGATACAAGATTCAAGTGATGCACATTCTCGTTCAGAGTTAACAGGAAAAAAATAATGACTGTTACCTTGCAGTTGCCTTGGAGTTGACTCTTTTCTTGTTCAAGTTTTAATAATGTTTCTTGAGTTCTTTCTTTTTCATGCTGTAGTTCCTACAATGTTAATTTGTTTACAACAAAAGTGATTAATAGTGGAATTTATTTCTTAAACCTCCTGGGAATATTGGTTTTATGAAGGTTTAAAAAAAAACTGAGGGTTCAAGAATTGGAATTATACAGTTTAGTACACTCCTGGGAATGTACCCAGCCATGACTTAATTTAAGAAATGAATCATCAAAAGAATTTTTTTTTCAACTGTAAAAAACAGTATATCCCAGGCTTGCCCTTTGGTGTTCAAATCATTGCGTGCCCACTCTTGACATTGCCATGCTCGCACTTCAAGATTTACATGTGTTAAAAACCTGACAAGTTTACACTATACGTCGATTCCCATTCTTTTTATACACCAATCACCAGATATAGGTTTTTCTGGCATAGAAACTAGAGTAAAACCTCTCACCTGAATTTTTCCCAACAAATGTTCATTGTCTATTTTAAGTTGATCTTGTGCTTTGTCTTCTTGCAAAGCTTGCAATTCCAAGGCATCCTTGTACTTCTACATGTACATTGCAAAATTATTCAGGGATCAAATTGGTCAATGTAATACAAGACAAGAAATACAAATCGCCTCAGGTTGGCAAATAACTTGAAAATAATACTTTAGACTTAACAGAGAAATAGGCTTTAACTTCATCATCATGGGCTTTAATTTACTTCAATTATAATTTTTTGTGCTCTTCCTTTCTCTTTCTTTTAAAGCATGCTATTGCTATGCCAAAAGTTAGACTGCTAATAAACATACTACAGCTGTGCAAAATAGAAATTCTGAAAATTCTTTAAAAAATTAATATCTGATAAGGTTCCATGATGGGTGCAAGTATTACAACCTAAGTGAAATCAATGGCCAAAATTCTTTAAACCATCAGATGGTTTACTGTTCAGTATGTACCTTCTTCTCCTTGACAGCAGTTTGATATTCTTCTTGAAGAATTCTCAGTGACTCCTGTAGGCCATTTCGTTCCATGACAACAGCAGACAAATCCTCTTCAAGTTCCTAGATTTTAAAGAATCAATTTATTTTAATGAGACAAGTAGAGCTTTTGTGTAACATAACCATGCAATTAAAAACCATACCAACCTGCACGTAGTCTATCAAATGCTCATAAAAACAATTGCAGCTAACTGGAGTGGTTTGGCTACTGCCAGTTGGAGTCATTAATCACGTTATGTTTGATTTATCATTACTTGTTAACTGAGGCTTCTTGTAACTATCTGAAGCAGCAAGGTGTACCGTCATGTACTTTCACTATACACAAACCCTTATCATTACTCATTTTAAGTCAAGGCTAAAGACTTTTCAGCCATTATAATATTATTATAAATCTAACATTTCACCAGGTTATTAAAAGTTATATTCACCATTTAAAACAGTTCTAACAATATTAATTTTAAGTGTTCTAAGAAGGAATAATAAAAATAAAAGAGGAGTTATAAGTATTTACATGTCATAGCCAATAAAGCAACTCAAAGAAGATTTTTTAGTTCCTTACTTTAACTGTTTTCTCATGTTCCTGCTCAAGTTGATCGTACATTCCACGTAACCCATCATTTTCCTCTAACATCTTTCTCCCAAGTTCAGCAGCCATTTTTAATTCTTCATTTTTCTTTAAGATCTAATTTTCAAATGTATTGAAATTTTGAATTTAATTTTATGAACATTATAGTATTTTATACTCCGAGTTTTCCTACAGCTTTTCTTTTAAATGGCAAGGTTCAGATTTCACATCATTGTTTAAACTTGTGCAACTATAATATATGTCAATTTAATTTGAAACAGTTAACTGAGCTTACACATTTAAAACTATTATAACTTATGAATTATGTCTTATACTTGGAGTTTTGCCACAGCATAAATAACAAGGTTCATTTTCACAGTGTATTTAATCCGGTGGGCACATGCAACTTCATGTAAAATATTTTACACATCCCAGAGCTGTACATTTAATCTGAAACAATTAATTAAGCTTACACATAAAAAAACCATCAAATTAACATGTTACTCTCTTCAGAAAATTGATATTCAGACATAATTTATGGGTTTAAGACAATGCTCATGTACACAATATTCAAAATTTTGAGAAAATGTACAACACATTATTTGCCTCTCAACATGGCTGTGTCTTACTAGCAAACAGCATATCAATGCAATCATCTTGCCCAAGGGTCAGCTAGTCAATTAGTGAGTATAAACTTGTACACATGTACCTTGTCTTTCTTTTCAAACTCGGCATGCACTCCTCTTGACAGCCACTCCTTCTTTTCTGCTTCCAGTCTCTGTACTTCATTTCTTTCTTCTTCCAATTGTGAGGACAGGTCTACAAAAACGTCCCAAAACAAAAACAAAGCACATAATTTAACCCTTCAACAAGGCTGTCATTAAGAGGAGGGGCCCGGAATTCGCCTGGCTACTAAGAATGTGGCCCCTTGCTACTTTCATAGGAAAATAGAAGAAAAATAGAACCAAAAGAAATTCCCTAGCTGTTTGATTCCCCTCCTACTTGTTGTATTTACCTGGCAACTAGAAATCTTAGTGACAGCCATGCTTTGTACTTTGAATTATACACCATACCTTCACACTTTGCTTTGGTTTGCTTCAACAATGCAAGTTGTTTCTTGACAAATTTTATCAGTTCTTCTTTTGGAAGTGACTCAAGCTGTGAGAAAGATAATTGAAAAATAATTTTACAGAACTCCACCTCGTATGTATGTTTAACTCATTCATTCTTGCGTACACTACAATAATATTATTATTAAATAATGACTATTACAACTCATAATACAAGGAGATCCCCCAATACAATGTACAAAGAGACACAGGACCCATTCACTTTAGTTTCTCTGTTAAGTCTTTAACCCCTGATGTCAAAATTTAAATTCTCACTTGTTATTCCACATTTCCTATATAGTCAGCAAAAGTTGTTAACATATCAATTAACAACTAAGTCCTGTTATCTCATGATCACTGTTTCATAACACATTGATATAACAAGGAGAAATTTGACACTGATCACCCCTAGGGTTTAAAGGGGGTTCTGGACTAGAAGCTATCTAGGAGCAGGAGTTCACCTGAAGCTGGGGAAAAAAAACTTTCCACAGAGGGAACTGACAACTGCCTCTATTCAATTTCCTGGCTTCTCACAATTGCTATTACTTATATCATTAACTCTATTCTTTGTTTCAAAGCAAAGCTCGTTATACAGCTGTAGGGAAGTACAGTCGACTCTCTTGATGGACACCTCTAATAAAAGACGGGCACCTCGCTAAAACAGACACCAAGACTTAGTGCCTGCCTTTTTTTAATCCTTTTAGTTGCTTCTCAATAAGATGGACATCTCTCTAAGACAGATATATATAGTGCCGGTCCCACAGGTGTCCATGTTGAGAGAGAGTTAATTGTACTACATATAATATCATATAACATACCTTTCCTTGAGACTTTATTGCAGTTGTGTTTGACGCACCATCCTTTTTCATGCTGTTGGTGACACCAAGTGGATCACCCTCATTCTGTCATAATAACATAAAAGATAACCTGTTCCCTTGATTCATTTAATTAATGCTGGATGATTAGCAGTAATGTGAAAAAATTTGGCCATTCAAAACCTTTTGTCTAGTTTTTAGCATGGGCAAAAGTTTTCAGCAGTATCACTTAAATCTAATATAATATTAAATACTGTCTGCAACCAAAACAACAACAAACTTATAAATAACTTTGTTTTCAGTAAACTTTTTTATTGTTCCTCAGTATGGGGCAACACATCTAAACGCAACCTACACAAACTGCAGTTGGTATAAAATTTTGCTGCCAGAGTTGTATTAGGTTTAAAGAAGTTTGACCATATCTCCCAGGGACGAAGATCTCTTAAATGGTTAGATGTTACGGAGAAGGTTCTATTTAATGACTTAGTTTTAGTATTCAACTGTGTAAATGGCTTAGCTCCAGATTATTTAGGTTAATATTTTATTAAACGTTCAGCAGTTCACAACAAGAACACAAGGGGACGTAACAATTTTGGGGTCCCCCGATGTAGACTATCAATGGGACAAAGGGCATTTTATTTTCAGGGTCCAAAGGAATGGAATGGGCTACCTGACAATATTAAGAACACTAAAGATATTGATAGTTTTAAGTGGAGACTTTTTAATAAGATATTTCATACGAAATAATTTTGAATATATTTTGAATAATTTTGAATGTCTTTTGAATTTAATTGAACTACTGTAAATAAGTTTTCTTTTCTTTTCTTAATTACCAGTATTATGTGATAATTAACATTGTGACTGAAAAGCCCTGTTGAAGAGAGTCTCAATAAAGTATCTATGTATGTATGTATGTATCTTGGACTAAAAGTGTTAAGAACTTTGCACTTTCTTACCCACAGAACACTTATCCATGGATTTTGTACCACAATGGCCCCTCCCCTCGCTCCCCCCTGGTCAGAGTAGTTGTTAAGTTGGCAGTAAGAAATGATTCAGTGGGATTTCAATTTGCTTTTGGGGGAAATGGGGAGTATTTTTAGTACACAGTGTCTTCAACAGCTTTACCTTGAAACTAGGCATTTTTCTTAACGTTTCTTGTCCAAGATTTTAGCCATATTTGAAGGGGTGCAAAAAGAAAAAAACCTGAGGGACTCCCAGGTAACTTTAATATTCATCTATTCATTTATTTATTTGTTATTTCTAGATCAAGTTGACGTTTGACTCAACAACATTCATCTCACAAAGAAACACTTCACAAAGAAATCAAAATTAAAGTAGAAAACCTTCCTACAAAAAAACTACTTTTGAGTATGCCAGTAAAATAATTATTGTTTGCTGTGACAAATTAGGCTAAAATTACCATTTAAGCTTCGCCTTGTTTACAATTATTATTTTTTTTGGTTCTGTACCCCAGGAGCAAAGGTATTCAGGAGTATCTTTCTTGAAGCAATTTCAAGTGTGAGTCATTTAAGATTGATGATGATAATGATGATGATACTGGGTTAGTTCATATTGACTTTTATATAAAAAAAAATCAACAAGTAAATGTCTGTGTTGATTCCTTTTTTATGCAGTTGTTAGCATCCAACAGGGATGAATTCATTCACAGGTTAACTACAAAGTGTTAGCAATTCCAATTTGTTTTTAAGGTAATAATGCAAATGTTGGTGACTTTTTGCTTCAAATGATAGAAACTGCTCCATATAATGTAAAGGTAACCTATATATAATCACCAATATTTTGTAAATAACAGCTGTTAATCACAAAAAAATGTGTAATTCTATCTGTAGAGAGCAGTTAATTACAACAAAAGAAATTATCAATATCATAATGTTTTAGTCTAGTTCTTAATTAAGCCTAATAAAGCTAAGTTTCTTTTATCTCAAAGAAGGTTTATTTTATAGACTTACTTGGATTTTTAGGGCAAAAAGCTGCAAAGTCTTAACTGCATGAAACCTGCTCTAAGGGGAAGCTTGATAGTTCAGACTGATAATGAATTATGTTTTCTGACAATTTAATTTGTACACTAGTACCTCACTTGCTCAGATGTTTTGTTTTAATAAAGAAATAGTTAATATTTCCTTTTTAGATCACAATGATAACAAAAAATATCTCAATGTTTTTTCCAGAATACCCTTTTACAACTGTTTGCCTGCACACAACTCATACACTGGTACATTGAACAAACAAATACCTTTGCTACTTGGACAAGTTAATTACCTTGAGTTTATCAAAATTCACAATTTGCTACAAATGTAAAAGGGGCTCAATTTCCAAACTTTACGTTTGCAATAATTTCAACACATTGTTACACAGTCAGGGCTTTCAAATTTTTCTTTTGGCAAAAGAAAATTTTGCTAGCCCCCCAGGCTTGGCAAGTGGATTCCTGTGACAACAATGCTACATGTTAGCTCTACACATTGATTTTCACATCACAAAACATTGCAAAACCTGATCATTATGCAGTGCCTATGGTCTTATTTTAAGCAATATTATATTAGGCTCTTTCACTTATCAGCTTGTTATAGAGCGTAAGGGAATTCCTACACATTCAAAACTTTGCTTTAAATATTTTTCTTCCAGGTTTGATCCTGGCTAAAAGTCTCATTTTTTTTCTGAAATTTGAAACCTGTCATTAATTTTAATGTCTCAGTCATCGCTTTTGTCTTAATAACGCTTCACATCACCACAAACCGCTGTCACATCGAGAGGAACGAACTTTCTGCACGAGTAAAGTCAGTTCGTTTCAAAGATAACTTAACCCTCGAAAGTGAAGTGCTTTCATTTCGCAGAGTCAAACCGTAATCCTTAAAATTGCCAAATATTTGTTATGCTAGAGAAAGCAAACATTTGTCAACTTTTAAACGCGTTAAACAACCCTGAAGCATCTCTGGCCGCTTGGAGCTTACAAGATCACCTAAATCTCATACACAGTATCAATACTAAACAAACCGCAACATTTTTGTCAAATGTTTTAGTACTAACAAAACTTATAAACACTGCTGATCTACTTAAAGGATTTAAAGGCTGATTTGTTTAATAAAGAAAAGAAGTGAAGCATATAAACACGAGATAGTTTTCTAGAAGATCGATCAAAGAACTTCGCATAACGTCATACTTTTTAGAACTATATAACGTCCGATTAATGAGTGTTTAAGGATAGAAACGAATAAGATAATGAATTAAAACGTTCTTATAGAAAAACATTCCTCAGCGTGATTTTTTTTACAGAAAACCACTGGAACAGAAAAAAAGTTGAGTCTAATAAAGTTAGGTACTGACTTACATGTGCGGAAGCCATCAGCTTCGAGATTGCCCTTCTCCACACCTATTGGAAATTTTTCCACTCACTTAAGCAACATTTTGAAGGTGCCTCCATTAAATATTCAACTTATACGTCATGGTAGAAGCTCTGTTATATTTCTTTTCTTCTCTCCAGCCACGATAGCACACAGCTTATAATAATTCTGTCCCGGTGTTTTGGAACAAACCTCCACGTCAATAATGAGCCGCAGTATACAGCGGTCACCTGAGTACTCCATAAACTCATGCGTAAAGCATTCTGTCTCGTTATGGCGTTGTTCTCGTGAGTAAACTGGAACCAAGCGGCGGGAAATTTCCCTTTGAAGGAAAATGAAAAATGCTATGTTTGCTTCGAGGTTGTTCAAGATTTCCAAGTAATTTTCTGAGATTTTTGCCATCGCAAACGTTAAAGAAGGTAATGATCGGTACTTCGCAGTTTACAACATTCATATTTCTTGATCTTGAAACCACTGGATTAAGAAAACCTGTGGAAATCACTGAACTTTGCATGGTGGCTGTGGAACGAAGTCATATGATCGAAAGTACCAAGACGAAAACTATTCCTCGTTTAATCGATAAACTTACAACTTGTGTTCGACCTACCAAGGAAATTGAGCCGTTTGCTTCTTCAGTAACTTGTTTATCAAATGAAGACCTTGAAAACAAGAGAGGCTTTGACATCGAACATGGAAGAATTGTGAAGTCATTTATTATGAGACAACCTCAACCTGTTTGTTTAGTAGCACATAATGGCGATCAATTTGACTTCAAAATTCTGGTTTCTCACCTAGAAGATGTTGGAATAACATCACCTGAGAGTGTATACGCTTCGGATTCACTCAAAGCTTTTAGGAAGCAGCACAAAGAAGAGAAATACGACACGAGTAATAACACAGCTGAGGCTGGTGGCAAAAGAAAACGGTTTTCATGTTCCCTGAGTAATCTGTTCAGCACTTTCGTTGGAGGTGAATTTGAGAATGCACATAGCGCCGAAGGAGATGCTTTAGCTTTGCTGCGGCTTGTTATTCACAAGCCAGATGTCCTCGGTTATTTAGAAAGTGGTGCTCATAAACTTTCAGTTAAAGTTCCTACATGTAAGGTGGCATTGGATGAAAAGGATATTAACCAAGTTCAAGATGAATATCTTTCACAGTTGGAAAAGGACGGACTTTTTTGATACTTTTGGCTTAACTGTCACACTGAGCAATAACCAATTGGGAGCTGGCCACATATTCCATTATTTTATCCCCTGTTCTTTTAAGTGTGCACCCTGGCAGCAAACCATACCTTGTAGAGGGCTCTCACTAATATCTGGGGGCTGAGGATTTGCCTGGCTTCTGTAAGCATAACCCACTGGCCACAGCTTCTTTCTTTGGAAAATAAAGGAAACGAAAAAGGTGTTCAATAGGCCACTTTCAAGTTCCAAAAACTCTCACTCTCATAATGAGGCCAAGTGCACATCCTTTCCTATGAAAATGAGTTTTATTTGCATGCAATGGAACCTCAATTTAACGAAGTGCAAAGGGACTAGGGAAATTTGTTCGTTAAATCGAGGGTTTGTTATATCGATCACCTCCATTCAACGAATTTTCAGGAAAACCATCAAAATATTTGTTACATTGAGGTAATGGTTAAAAATTAATTTACAAAACCCAGCATTTCCGGATCTGAAAAATTACTGTAATAAGGGCTAATAACATTGCAGTACCGCGCTATACATAGCTACGGCACAAGAAACTCAAGAACAGGCAAACAAAACTGCTTAAAACTACTGTACACATAAATTTCATCCTTGTTGGTCTGTTTGGCATTCATCTTTTATCACATGCTGACATTTATTCATTATATCAAGGTAAATTTTACATTTTCACTTGTGGATTGTGTTCACTATATCAAGGATTTCGTTAAATTGAGGTTCGTTAAATCAAGGTTCTGTTCCATAAATTTTACTTTAATTTTGGCCAGGCTGAAGAAACTTGTTCATTATACCGAGGACTTCGTTATATATAGAGGTTCGTTAAATCGAGGTTCCATTGTACATACATACTTTCTTGCTTCACCCCAAAGGGGCATTTCAAGAACAATCAAAGAGGCATGAGAATGAAAGATCATTTCCATATCAAAGGCTGAGTGCTTAACCTCTTGTTTTGATACAGAATCCCCCGGGGAAACTCAGAATTGGCCTATTACGTGCTAGCCTGTGAATACAGCTGTCTTACATTTTCTCATTTGACAGTTAGGGTAAAACTAAAATTTCTGTAACACACAAAGCTGCAATATGTGCAACAACAATGAAATACGAATCGATCAATCAAAATCATGTTTCAAACTGCGCACTTGAGAAAACTGCCATGGCCCGGTCACTTTCGTGCCACTAGCTAGACAATTTACAAACCAAGACATTGGCTAAGAATATTTCTTTACCTTCTTTATAATTCCTTTTGCACCGAATGTCACAAGATTAAGTTCAACAAGACGCTGTGGGAGTGTATATATAAACAAGTATTGTACGCACGCCAAGCTTAGCGCTCAATTGACATGTTCATGATGCAAAACCATAGAACATATACCTCATATGTGGTCAACCTGCAGGAAGTAAACATCTCATGGAAGGCGAACTATGAGGAATAAAGTTGGAGAAGCATCAAAACGTTCACAAAGTAAATCAAAGTTTACTTTTAAATTTGGAGGCACCTGCCATAGCAACGAACCATCAAGGTGACACAATTTTGTACAAAGTGGACAAATATTCTACTTGATGTATGCATAACTGGTAAAGCTAGTGCAGACAATACTTTCTTGTTTACTATGATTAGTATATGAGAAAGCTAGTAATGACTCAATTTAAGTATAAACATGCAAAATTATCAGTCAGAGGAAATAAAATATGTTGAAGATATAACATTTGAGGAGTTAATGGAAAAATTCAAATTGATAATTATTGAAGGCATAACAATAAGAAAGTAGAAAGTATGCCAGGTTGCAAATCCCCAAAGTGGTTCCAAAGTTCTTGACAAACAAGTCAATACTGTTCTTTGTGTGATCAAAGCTAGTCTCTAAAACTTTACTTTTAGTTTTTAATTCTTTTAATTTTATTTATTTTCTAGTTTATATGTATTTAATCTATTAATGTATTTTAATTCATATTTTTCTGTACATATTATTACAATATTATTGCTTGCCGAATCATCAGTGGTGCGAAAAAATATGATCATGTAACACCGGCCCTCTTAAAAAGCCTGTCTTGGTTACCTGTTAAGGACCAACTTTACTATCGTCAAGCTATTATGGCCTTCAAATGCATGACCGGTCATGCCCCTGAATATCTTACATCCCAAATTTATTACCCGTGAGCAAGTTAGTGAACGAACAACTCGGAGTAGCCAAAAGCTAAACATCCCTCTTTTCAGAACTGCCTCTGGACAGAGAACCTTTTATTACAGGACTGTTAAGCTTTGGAACAATTTAGAATCTTTTCTTAAATTAAGCCCATCTGTAAACATTTTTAAATGTTCCTTAAGGAGCCAGCTTTTAGATAATTTTGTGAATACTTCTTAGTTAAGTATTAGTAATTAACTAACATTGTAATATATTTATTAGTATTAGGTTAAGTGTTGTAATTAGTTGTTATAAAAAATGTAATATAATCATTGTTCCTGAAAATACCCATTGGAGTATGTATGTATGTATTTACAATGTCATATAATTATGATTCAATCAAGTCATTTGTAGTTCAATCATGTAATTTTCTTAACTAGTTTTCTTCGAAGATATTAGAATGTTTTATGCTATCTTTAAATTCGAACTAAAATAAAGTCATTGAATGATTGATTGATTCCAACAATAAACGGGTTTCTTGTGCATCATTATATCTTGCATTCAACTCGACATGTAAGGACAACTAGATCTGAGCTTTGGGCAAGTTTCAGGGGACAAGTACAATCAGGGGACAAGTACAATCAGTGGACAAGTGAAGTTCCAAATTTTTTCTAACCCTAGGCCTGTGTGGTCACTGCCAAATAAAGTTAAATAAAGCTGCCATCACTTCTTGCATCTCAACAACACTTCACATTTTTGCCTCGGAGCGACGGAGCCAATGACATGGCCAATTTCGTTTCTAGAGGCCGCGATAATATTTTTCCCGTCGCTGACCAAAAGGATCGCGGCCTCCGGGAACGAGATCGAATCACGTGTCAGTTCAAACAGAGCATGCGCTTCACGATTTGCCTTTTTGCTATAAATACCAGTGAAGAGAACTAAAATATAGGCTTTTTTCTTGTATCTTCGATTGGACTAAAGCTGAATATACCGTAAAATTCCGAAAATAAGCCCCTCCAAATATAAGCCGCCCCCCCCCCGCGGGGGGCTTGTACTTGGTACAAAGTAAAACAAAGCAAAAACGGTAAATTTCCTTTCGATTTTGAAACGCAAATTTCCCTCCTTAGATAAGCCCCTCCAAAAATAAGCCCCTCAAAAAGGGCCTTTGAAAAATACAAGCCCCGGGGCTTATTTTCAGAATTTTACGGTATGTAATCAATTTGATGGATACTTCCAGTAGGGAGTGTAGGGGGAGTATGAAGATTTTCTTTAAGGTACAAATTAACAATAACTTACATTGTGTGTCTTACTAAAGCTCCCGTCACCAAACATTATATTTAAAGTGTTTTAAATAGAAGAATGCACAAAGTTTTCTGAGTTGAAATTTTGTGTAAAAACATGTATGGGATCAATTTTTTTATCAGGGCTCAGGGATCAAAATTTGGGGGAAAATGGGGTTCAGGGATAAAAATTACGGCAAGAAAATAGGGATCAATGGGTCGCGGATATACCATGTTACGACCCTGTCACTTTTTCTATAAAAGCTCTTTCTCTTCACTCGAGAGCTAGTATACTTGCGTATAAACACATCTTCTAATACTTGAAATGGTAAAACTGCTGAAAATCAAGAGGAGAGACTTTATTTCAACGAGACAGCATTCCTATTTTGGTGTCACACACCGCGGGTCAAAACTCGGAAGTTCAAATTGCTGTATTTTCGAAATGAAACGTGCTACGGGACTGGAAACTTGTACAAAGATTTTTTTTGTTTATCTTCAACCTAGTGTAAATAAGAAATCGTAAAACTCTGTTATTTTTACTTTACAATTTAATGACGTCACCGTGAAAACCATCTACAGTTGACTCCCGATAATGAACCCTCGCTAACTCGAACCTCGCGCCGGCGCTAACTTAAACCAAAATCGATTTCCCCTGGATTTCCGTCATATATTTACTGTAATTTTACCCTCGATAACTCGAACCTCCCGCTAACTCGAAGTAGTTTTTGTTTCCCCTCAGAACATTTCTATATATTTTTACCCTCGATAACTCGAACCATGTTTTGAGCCCTTCAAAGTCGGGAAAAAACAGTCTACTGGCGTCCCAAACATTGAATTTTGAATTTCCCATTTACGGGTTGTAGACACACCTTCAATTTCGTAAACGATACTTGGAGGTAAACAACAAAGCTTCTAATATAGTTTGTAGAGCAGAGCGTGGTCGTTTTCCATTAAATATCAAAAATCAGTCAAAAAATTCTCCAATACATTTTGTATATACAGTCTAAAGATGAGGAATCTCTCGTCAAACAAGTTTTTTTAATGTCATTCGACTTACCACTGTAATGGCAAAAATAGCTTCCACTCTCATTTAACGAATATGTCAGAATACTTTAAGCTTCCTGACTTTAACCCTGATTTATTAGATATAGCCATGGTAAAAAGCTATGTAAGTTCAATGAAACAGGAATATACCTCATATTGGCAAAACACCCTTCAACATTCTCAAAAACTTGAATTTTATAGATCTTTTAAAACCGATCATACCTCCTCTAGTTACTTATAGACTTAACAAGAGGAACAGCTGGGAGAAGGGCTTTAGTAAAACTACGAATAAGAAGTCACAAACTAATGATAGAAATAGGCAGATGCAACCAAACTACGAAGGATAATAGGCATTGCCCTTCAGTTTGTGGAGGCAATGTAATAGAAGACGTAGTTCACTTTCTTTTTCAATGTCCTACATACTCTATGATTAGTGTAAGGAGAGATTTTCCATGAATTCTTTATTTGCCTCGAATTTAATATATAGCTTTCATCGCTTTGACGTTGTTTCTAGTAATCCACACTGAATTTGCAT